TAAAGCCTGTTATGTTCCGTGGGGGTTGAGACCTGTGTTATGTTCGTGGGGAGGTTAGAGACCTACCATTTATGATGGGTTCAGGTCTGGTGTTATGTTCCGTGGTTTGTAGCCTGTGTTATGTTCCGTGGGTTGAGGCCTGTGTTATGTTCCGTGGGTTGAGACCTGTGTTATGTTCCGTGGGTCGAGACCTGTGTTATGTTCCGTGGGTCGAGACCTGTGTTATGTTCCGTGGGTTCAGGTCTGTGTTATTTAATATATTATCATATAATATAAAACATTAAAATATACAGTGAAAATCTACGTCAAAGGGAATTACGCTGAATAAACTCTCCTAAATTTTGTTTCATATTTGTGTTTGGGGTAAAAAAAATAACATTGACCTTTGTATATTTTTTTTTTTACATTATATCGTGAAAATATTTTTATTTTTATGACTGTGCGTGTGTGTGTGTGGGAGGGGGGCTTGTGTGCGTATATATGTGTGTTAATTATATAACCTGTAAACTTAAACACACACACACACACACTTGAGTTGGTACACTGAGACATTGTACACATACGTCGCATATTTTAAAAGTTGAAAATACTGTACTAGTCATATTTTTCCCACTATATACATAACACCGCGGCTTATGCAGTATAGAGCTCCCAGGGCTTTGGGGTGAAATTACAACTGAGGAATTAGAACTACCAAGTGGGATGGGTGTATTGTACAGTCCCCTTCACTTGTGCGTTTACAGGGGGCTCGTCAGGTTTTGTGCAGTGTGGCAGCCCTGTGTTTGTTTACAGTCGACAGAAGGAAACTAGCATTAGTAAACATAATATTGAATCAAAGTAAAATAATATAAAAACAAATATATCAATGTAATGATTTGTGGAATGTTTATATGACGAGCCCCTGTAAACGCAGTAGTGAAGGGGACTGTGCCTTAGTATTTATTGGTTTTAAGATGTGGTCATGGGGATGGTGTGAATGTATGTTGTGTGTAGTGTTTGGTAGCTTGGGTATTAACACTTTGTTGTCAAGACTAAAGAAACTGAAAATACTGAAATAAGATGTTTTGTGTGTATGCAGCAGAAAATAATAATAATAATAATAATAATAATAATAATAATAATAATGAGAGAGAGAGAGAGAGAGAGAGAGAGAGAGAGAGAGAGAGAGAGAGAGAGAGAGAGAGAGAGACTTTACAACGAAAAATTCACCGTTAACAACCAAGACACAAGGGTTCAAAAATCTAAATATCAATGAAAGCAAACGTGATAATTTTTTTTTAAAGTGCGTTATCCAGCTCTATGAATACCAATTCTGACTGACTGACAGAGACTCACTCACTCACTCAGTGTCGGGTTTTTTGGGGGGTTGTCGCTTGTAGGCAGTGTGAGGGCGTTGTTGCCTGGCGTCCGATTATTTTTGCACTGATATTTTTAGTATTGATAACAGAATAAAATCATCTTTTAATGTTATCGATATTCATAACATTACATAATATACAGTAATTTGTGTTATAATTACTGTACATAGATATAAGTAATAATTAATAATACACAATAACCTGTACCAGACGCTTTAATTTATTACAAAACAAAAGGAGTTAATTAAAAGCCGAAAATAAACAAACAACCAAATAAAAACGAGAAAAACGGACAAACAGGATCCAAACATGCGTTCTTCATTCGCACATTCGGATTCATTAGATCTTTTTTGATGAATTACACCAACCAGTTTTATGTTGAGCCACAAACCTTACTTTTGTTAGTCTCATTTTAGTTCAGCCAACAACAAGTAATGATATTCTAGTTCATTGTGACGAGAGAGAGAGAGGGAGGGAAACATGGGAAGGTAGGGGATACAAGAAGAGAGAGAGAGAGAGAGGGAGTGACATGAGAAGAGTGATAAATGAAGAGTTAGAGAGAGGGGGAATAAGAGGCCTAACACAATAATGCAACTAAGAAAAAAAAGTAAGGGACCAGGGGTGAACAAGATACCATTCACCTCTTAATCATTGTTACGTCCCGAACCATACTGTAGACACATGACAATAACACTGAGAGTGGGCGAATCTACCGCAGTTTGGTCACATCAGTGGGAGGAGGAGCATTCATTTGTTTGTCAATCTCCGCCACATATCCATTTTCATTTCCGTCAATCTATCATACGTCCTTCCAGCTGTCTATCCACCATCCGTCAGTCCCCCATGTACCTCGCCTCTTCACACCATAATACACCAAACGGTTTGACTGGATTTTATTCCTGAGTTTACTAAGCAATCCGGTTTATGATGCCAGACTAGGAGCAGGTCGTACCCGTCTTGAGGGGCGGTGGTAGGTGTGTGTGTGTGTGGTTTTTTACTGGGGACTAGCCCACCCGGGCACAGGTCACTGACCCACATCGGGGCCTGGGGGGCAAAATAATAATAATAATAATAATTTAGATAACTAAAATTTATAATACAAATTACACAAATAAAAATAAAATAATGAGAAAAAATAATAATAATAATAATAGTAATAATAATAATAATAAAGAACCATAAAGAAATACAAAAATTAAAAAAGATCAAAAGTGAGAAACAATATATGTATGTTGTGTTGTCAAAGAGAAACAATTGAGACCCTGCAATTGTGTGTAACTGAGGTAGAAAGTCAGATCAGCAACTTGGGACTTGTCACAATTTTCGTGATGCCATATGGCAGCAGGGTCTACCATTAGACACCACATTATGCTTCTAATGTCTTCCCAGGCGGTAGTACCTCTCTGTTTGATAGCTGCCTACTACCTCCAGGACTATGTGAGCAGGTCGTACCCGTCTCTTGAGGGTGGCAGTGATGGCAGGACTATGTCTCTTGGGTGGCTGTAGTGGCAGTAGTACAATAAAAGAGGGTATTCGCCTCATAATGGTCGTAGTACAGTAGCAGCATCATGACGTTAGGTGACTTACGATGACATGGTCGTTCGCAGTGTGGTGCATGTGGTTTTGTGTGTGTGTATAACGATAAGTGCCTGAATCTCAAGAAAGTTGCTGCTAATTCCACACAGTGCACCAGACACCGTGAAGACAGAACCACGCAGGCAGCCCAAGAAACACACTGACGGACACTGATAAAAAACACACACCATGAACTGTAAAAGGAGGTCATCAAGGTCAAGAATCCATCGAGAAGTGAGATTAAGATGCCTCAAACAGTATGTGACAAAAACTTAAAAAAGAAAAAATAGCTGAATATGTCAAGCTATAAAGGTCACGAGGCTCTATGGATTTGCCCAGAACTAGTCACGGGGCTCTGTGGATTTGCCCAGAACTAGTCACGGGGCTCTGTGGATTTGCCCAGAACTAGTCACGGGGCTCTTTGGATTTGCCCAGAACTAGTCACGGGGCTCTATGGATTTGCCCAGAACTAGTCACGGGGCTCTTTGGATTTGCCCAGAACTAGTCACAGGGCTCTACAGATTTACCCGGAACTTGTCGCGGGGCTCTACAGATTTGCCCGGAACTGACCCACACAAAGATCTTGTTAAGGTTACAGGGAGTAACCAGATCAAGGAACTGCTCAAAGCCTGACCTCGTCTTCCTCTGGGAAATTACTGACTGGTGGAGAGGGATTTGTTGTACCCGGCTGTGGGATGGTGAGAGGGGGAGCTGAGAGGGGGAGCTGGGAGGGTGAGAGGGGAGCTGGGAGAGTGAGAGGGGAGCTGGGAGAGGAGAGGGGAGGTGGAAGATTGAGAGGGGGAGCTGGGAGAGTGAGAGGGAAGGTGGGAGAGAGGGGGGAGCTGGGAGAGTGAGAGGGGAGGTGAGAGAGGAGAGGGCGAGCTGAGAGGAGAGGGGGAGCTGGGAGAGTGAAAGAGGTGGGAGAGTGAGAGAGAAGCTCAGAGTGAAAGGGCCAGCTGGGAGAGTCAGTGGAGGTGCTGGGAGAGTGAAAGGGCCAGCTGGGAGAGAGACGATCAGCTGAGAGAGTGAGAGGAGGCGAGTGAGACGACCAGTTGGAAGAGTATGAGGAGGGGCTGGGAGAGTATGAGGAGGGGTTGGGAGAGTATGGAGGGGCTGGGAGAGGGAGGGGGGGGCTGGGAGAGAGAGGGCTGGGAGAGCGAGGGGCTGGGAGAGTATGAGGGGGGCTGGGAGAGTATGAGGAGGGGCTGGGAGAGAGGGGCTGGGAGAAGGAGGGCTGGGAGAGTGAGGAGGGGCTATGAGAGGCTGGGAGGAGGGGCTGGGAGAGGGGCTGGGAGAGTGAGGCTGAGGGGCTGAGGAGGGGGCTGGGAGAGTGAGGAGGGCTGGGAGGAGGGGCTGGGAGAGGAGGAGGGGCTGGGAGAGGGGAGGAGGGGCTGGAGAGAGCGGAGGAGGGGCTGGGAGATTATGAGGCTGGGAGAGGGAGGAGAGCCTGAGAGAGGGGCTGGGAGAGTAAGGAGGAGGAGCTGGGAGGGAGGGGGGCTGGGAGGCAGAGGCTGGGAGAGGGAGGAGGGCGGGGAGAGAGGAGGAGGGGCTGGGAGATTGAGGAGGGGCTGGGAGGAGGAGGAGCTGGGGAGAGTATGAGGAGGGGCTGGGAGAGTAGAGAGGAGGGGCTGGGAGAGGAGGCTGCCAGAGGAGAGCTGCCAGAGTATGAGGAGGGGCTGCCAGAGTGAGGAGGGGGCTGCAGAGAGGAGGGGCTGGGAGAGAGGAGGAGTTGGAAGAGTATGAGGGGGCTGGGAAAAGGAGGGGGGCTGGGAGGTATGAGGAGGGGCTGGGAGAGTATGAGGAGGGGGCTGGGAGAGTATGAGGAGGGCTGGAAGAGTATGAGGGGGGGCTGGGAGAGTATAAACTCCAAAATCTACCGTATCAGTGTGAACAGTTCCTTGTGTGTAGTTCGCTGAGTTGTGAAAACGGTGTTGTTAGCGTATAATAATAATAATAATAATAATAATAATTCAAACATATATATATATATATATATATATATATATATATATATATATATATATATATATCCATTGTGTACATTATGATGGTGAGAGTCACCTGAGAGCCTCTCGCATGTAAACAACAATAATGTCGAGAAAATGGCCTCCTGCAGTCTGTCAGCTGTATTAACCCTCATCATTTGCTGTTGGGTCATCGGTAAGGTTATTTGTTTTCATTATCTTGGGTTGATAACTTTATACAGACACTATATTAAGGATTCTAGAAGTACAGAAGCCTTAGATAAAGAGGGAACGAAGCTAAAGTATTGGGCTCTCCGACTTAGCGGAATCTTTCCCTAACTACTCTTCCTACCTAAAGTACTTGTTGTGGTTTTTCATGGTTGGATATAATAACCATAGATATAATATGGTTAATATTCGTCTATTGGCTGTCCTCGGGTTCCCGCCATGATTACCTGTGGCTATACTCTTCACTTGGAGTCCGTTGTCTCTTCCTTTCCTCATCCAACTTGTACTGTAGGTTAGGTTTGGTTAGGTTAGGTTGGTTGGTTAGTTGTTTCCTTTAGTATGAGAATAGCTTTTCCTTTGGGTTAACGTGTAGATTAATGCTGCCAACGATTCTAGCAATAACACACTATTTTTCCACCACAATTTTTTTTGTTTTGTTTATTGCTAGTGACAGTGGTGGGCAGACTATACTGTAAAAGGCAAATCTGGAGAACTTCACAGCCACTTCTCCCAGTCTCAGTAACAGGGTCTCCCCATATCGTCACCAGTATTTTTAACCCGTTTCGTAACCACTGCTTTACCTCTTTCGTCACCCTGTTCATTCCCATCATTATATACACGAAAATAACTGTTGCTTGGGATAGAAAATTATCAAGAACACAAAGACAGTTTATTAAAGACGAAAATAAAAACATTGTTCATACGCCTGCTATCATCTCACTCAAACAATATGTGAAAGATTAAAATTTACTCGTGCGAGCTTGGCAGAAGACAATGACAATATTTTTTAGGAAATTAGCTTTGGTGATATTTTTTCTTCATATTTATCCCATAGTTTCCAGAGATGGACTTGTTTGCCATGATTTTCTTTTCTTGTGCACGATTTTAGCTTGTGCTCAGACTGGATAAGCACTGGAGCAGGTTCAGATACATTCAGGAGCCAGTGCATGCCCAGTACTTGCCCCAGTGCATAACAGAGCCAGTACATGCCCAGTACTGGCCAACAGTGTGTAACAGAGCCAGTACTTGCCCCAGTGCATAACAGAGCCAGTACATGCCCAGTACTGGCCAACAGTGTGTAACAGAGCCAGTACTTGCCCCAGTGCATAACAGAGCCAGTACATGCCCAGTACTGGCCAACAGTGTGTAACAGAGCCAGTACTTGCCCCAGTGCATAACAGAGCCAGTACATGCCCAGTACTGGCCAACAGTGTGTAACAGAGCCAGTACTTGCCCCAGTGCATAACAGAGCCAGTACGTGCCCAGTACTGGCCAACAGTGTGTAACAGAGCCAGTACTTGCCCCAGTGCATAACAGAGCCAGTACATGCCCAGTACTGGCCAACAGTGTGTAACAGAGACGTAACCGATCGACCAAGCGGCTAACAAGCTTATCGGTGGTGAAGAGGATAAAAGTAATATACACACAAAAATAACTGTTGCTTGGGATAGAAAATAATAAAAAACACTAAGACAATTTATTAAAGACGAAAAAAAATAAATAAAAACATCTCACTGCTCGGTGGTTCATGCGCTGATGCCAAATAACCTTCATTATTGTTCTATATTTTGTTTATGTACCAATGTTTTAATCATTTTCTTTATTAAATAAAAAATATTCATGTATAATAATAACACAATACATCTCGAGTCGTCTGTATACTTGTGTAATTTCTATTCGTGTAAAATAACAACTTACAATTTGTCACTACAGTGACCCCTCCGTTAACGAACTCAATCCGTTCCAGAAGGTCGTTCGTTAACCGAAAAGTTCGTTAACCGAAACCATTGTTTCAATGGGTTTTTGGGTAATTGGTTCCAGCTCACCGAAAATTTCCTAAATTCAACAAAAATGGTAGAAAAGTTCACTTACTTTGAGGTGTGTATGTAGAAGGCTCCTGGATGATGATGATGATGATGGGATTTAGAATGGGGGTGGAGGAGAAGGAAAAAGAGAAGGCATTGGGGTGGAAGAGAAGTCACCCCATGGCGCCATTTCACCCATAAAATTTTAGCTCTCTTGGTGTAATTCAAGATTATTTTCTTTAAATCAACACTGCACTGCATTATATATTGTCAATATGTAAAATATATTTCAAAATGACCAATAATTTGCTTGGAAACACAGAAAAAAGCGTTTAGTTGAAGAGAGTCTCAAGCAAGATGTTACCTCCAGTGAAAACAGAGAGAGACTAACTCCTGTTTGCTGTGTTAAGAGGCTGGATGCCGCGCATTAAACTAGTCACTTTACCTTCAGTTATGTTCAATAATTGTTAAAATGACTAAAAAATTGAATATTAAACTTTTAAAATTATTGAATAGTATAAACTTCTTGATATTTACTAAAATAGTAAGGAATTTAAGCCCTAGAACCGATTAATGTATTGGCGGACTGATACTAAAGCTGGTTGCCCGGTCAGTGCAAGCGAAAACATGTTGAGGTCGGTTCGTAAGAACTTCGTTAACCGAATTGAAGATCCTTATGGAAGGCAGTTCGTTAATCGAAATTACGTTAAACGAGGGGTCACTGTATTACCATTGACTGTTAGTGGTGACAAAACGGATTTGATATTGGTGACGAATTGGGGTTTTGGTGACGAACCGGGTCGGTGACGATGTGGATTGGTTATGAAATGGGGTGTATCCTCAGTAACAGTAAGTTGGCCCATGGCAGGTGTTAGGTTATGCTTGGTTAGGTTAAGGTTAGTTTAGGTTTGGGTTAGGTGAGGTTAAGGTTAGGTGAGGTTAACTTTGCTTGAACTTTTAAATAAACAGTTTTTAACACATTTGCCATAACTCCGACTGTGTCCTCTTTAAAGGACAGTTAAATTGCATTTCTTTTAATTAGTTTTCAGTGAAAAATCAGCAGCTGTAAGGTCGTAAATAATTACTCGGTAAAATTATCGTTTCGGTCATCCACCAATTTGTAATGAAGGTCAGGATCGTTCAAAACACATAAAAAACCAATGTAAAAATATGGCTTCAACCTAACCTAACTTAAACCTAATCTCGCTGGATGGCCAAAACGATAGTAATACTAACTATACTAACAAATCCAGAGTGCGGTACATAAGAAAGAATGAACAACCAATTCGGGATTCTGTTCAAGCAAGTGCTCCTGCAGGTGCTAAAGTGGCGCAGGTTGCTCGTAACAAGAACATAATTAAAACTGAGAAAGCTCCAGAATAGCTCAGTTGTGCTGAACATTGGGGTTAAATGGTTAAAAAATATTAGTAGTATGGTAAACCCTTGATAACTCAGCACAGATGGGGCTCTGGCCTTGAGGAGTTATCCCAAATTCTGAATGATCGAGGCACTCCCCCTCCCCACACACACACACACACTCACACTAAAAAAATACAACAATAAAAATTATTGACTCATATCTGTCTACATGTAATTACTAAATGTAAAATTAGTAACTAACACTTACCATAACTGCAGGTGAAGAATAAAGCATCATAGATGACACATGCATGGTAGGTGACACAGAGGTGCAGTAGGTGACACAGACATGGTTGGTGACACAGAGGCATGGTAGGTGGCGGAGGTGATAGAGGCACTTACATACAATATACGTACTGTACTGTACAGTAATATGTTCACTTTTATAAAATAAAATTTTTTTACTTGTACAAAGTATTTTCATTTAAACACTATTGTACAATGCTGTACAGTGATAATTTTTAGTTTTGAAAAATGTTATGGTATTAATGATATAGTTCTATTGCAGAATCATGTGATATCTTCAGATTTGAAAAGTTTTCATTTTGCTAGGTAAATTTTAACTTGAAATCTTATGAAAATTCAGTATTCCCACCCTTTTACCAACACCACTAAATAGCTTATTTAAAGTAAAGTAAATGTATCAGGTTAATTTATTAGGATGAAATTGATCCAGAATAGTAAAACGAATGATCTTGACACATTTATTAAATTTAATATTCCTTTAGAAAACAAAATCATCAAATACAAAAACCGGTTTTACTACTACGACCTGGTGTTGCTGCACACCATAGAGAACATGTCTTTCTTGCTTCTGTTTCTACTCATCACCTCCCTGCACTGACCACCTGAGCTCGGATGTAGCCTTCCCTCCTCTCCTGGCTGTACACGTGACTGCTGGCCTCGCTCACTTGCTGTATGGCGCTCTATACTCTGGGTGTGTAGCAGGGGCCAGGCAGGAACATACATGGGGTTGTCAGGAAAGCTCTGACTTGAACATTGGTGAGGCTGCAGGTAAGAGGGGCTCACTGCCAGCTGGATGTTATCAGATCTATGAGATCAGTGAGGGTCTTAACCTAGATTGACTTCAGGGTCTTCCTGACCCTGAAGGAATCGTCACCAACTGATTCGTCATGCCCAGATCCTCTCATAAGTCTCATATTCAAGATCTTTTTGACTGCCACTCTTCTCTCCTCCTCATCCTTACTGCAGAGCATTGTCTGCAGAACTGCCCCGGGATGAGCATACCAGGAAGATCTCCTCACAGTCTGCTCCACAATCTGAACAACCTTCCTTGGCTGACTCCTCAGGAGCTCAAGCTGGAAGAGAACATGCCTCAGACCTTCGGAGAACGATGACTTGACCTTGAGTGTTGAACCAATTTGGCAAGTAGACACTCACGATGAATTGGACAATAAGTCTCAGGTTGTGAAGCTGGTTCCTTTCAGTTTATGATGAAGCGACCCAAATTCTGGAACCCAAGGTAGATTATGAGCCACCTAGAATGAGACTGGACCTATCTGCAGGTAAATCTATCAGGCATGACCCAGTTTTGATGGCACTGCAAATCATGTAACCATAGTACTGGTCAGTACTCAGGTCGTCAATGACAGTATGTGCAAGCTCAACGAGTGGAGGGCCAACTGTGATTTTTTCAAAGCTCGGATTTATTTCTAACTCAGTGGCAGAGTCCAGCATCTTGCCAAGAGGACCAGACCATCTGTTGTTTGAAAGAGTCTTGCCA